TCGATATTGAGGAGAAATCGTGCAATGAATTTGCCAGATTTACTGCGAAGGAAGCCGTAAATGTCATAAATATGACACATGGTAAATCACCTGCACATGATGACCTCAGTATTGAGCACCTGCAGTACGCGGGAGTTCATCTGCCTAGGGTATTGTCTATGCTCTTTAATGTATGTATAGGGCATGAATACTTACCTCGGGAACTTATGAAGACCATAGTGGTACCAGTTCTAAAGAATAAGACCGGGGATGCTGCCGACAAGAACAATTATAGATCAATCTCGCTAGCTACTGTGATAGCGAAAGTATTGGATGGTATGCTCGATCATCAACTAAGTAAACATATACATGTAGGTACATGAGGCACAGTTTGGGTTTAGACCTGAACTGTCCACTGAAACTGCAATCTTACGACTCAAGCATACCGTCCAGTATTATGTTACGAGAAAAACGCCTGTATTTTTTTGGACTTGTCGAAAGCATTTGACCTGGTCCCGTACAACATATTACGGGATAAGTTTCGGAGGAAAACGAGCACGCCTAGGGAGATAGTCGATGTGTTAAGGTATTGGTACCACAACCAATGAAATAATGTAAGGCTCTAATCTATTCATATCCATACTTATGCTCATACTCAAGTGAATATAGGTTGGAGTACGGAGTGAGACAGGGAGGCTTAACTACACCGAGGCTCTTTAACCTGTATATAAATGGATCGATCGATAAGCTTGGTAGAACTGTCGTTGGATGCTCAATAGATGGTAACTATGGTGCTGCTGCGCCCTTCGAGCAGGGCACTCGAGATATTAATTAAATTTATGTGAGAGATATCCAGAAGCCCATGGCCTCAGGTATAACTCCAAAAAGAGTGAACTACTTGTTTTCAAGGCAGGGGACAAAGAACCCAAGGCTATCCCACTGGTCAGGCTTGGGGGAGTACCTTTAAGTAGAGTCACCAAATTTAAATACCCGGCGCACTGGGTTACAGAGGACCTCTCTGAAGACTTGGATATTGAATAAGAACGTAAAGCGTTAGCAGTGAGGTGAAACATGCTAGCTCACAGGTTTGCAAGGTCTACAAAAACTGTCAAGATAACCCTTTTTAAGGCGTACTGCCAAACGTTTTACACCTGCATCCTGTGGGTCAAGTATACCCGCAGATCTGTAAATGCACTACGTGTTCAATACAATAATGGCTTTAGGATGCTGATGGGACTGTCTCAATATTACAACGCATCAGGTATGTTTGTTGAGGCTAACACGGACAGATGTGATACAATAGTGCGGAAGAGAGTGGCCTCCCTGATGCGACGCGTGCGAGACAGTGTCCGCGGATTCCTATATACTGTATTAGGAAGGCTTGATTGTCGTTGTGCGGCACTGGAACACTGTGCATATGGGCTCCAGAGCGCTTATGTTTGATATAAAATAAGTATTGTTGTTTTTAGTTGTATATTTACTAACATTAATTTTAAGTTTATTTTATTTATTACTATCAAAGTATGGAAAATTGTTATTATGGGGTATCTATACAGTTTTCTCATCTAGTTGGGCCGTATAAATATATAATTGTGAATGAAAATGATAAACATACATAAATATCAATAAAATAAAATAAATACATAAAAATACATAAATAAAAAAAACCCAACCAGATAGATGCCCTCGGCAGGGGAGACCAAACGGCTGAGGTAATAATTTCGATCGACAGTCCACCCCACAAGTCGGTCACCTCGTGAACCAGGTCCAGATATTTTGTTCGCTTATCTGTTTCGGATTTCACCAGGTTCTCCTCATACGGAATGGTAATGTCGACCAAAAATATCCTTGACTGTGCCCGGTCCATCAGCACGGTACCAGTAGAGCCTGACGTGGTCATTTTCGAGCACGGCATCCGGCAAGTACTTATAGTAAGGCAGTTTCCGAACCACGAGACCGTATTTCAGAGCGAGCTCCTGGTGTAGAATCCTGGCGACTAGGTTGTGCCTGTGCAAGTACTCAGAGTTAGGAAGCGCCGAACAACCGGAGATGACATGCCTAAGTTACTCACCGGGATGGCGACAAGCTCGACAGATATCGACGGTGCCATCCCTTAGGATGTATCTCCGATAGTTGTTCGTCTTAATAACCTGATCCTGTATTGCACAGACAAAAACCTCGGTTTCCCCGAAGAGGTCACCAAAACGTAGCTAGTGGAGGGAGGCAACTGTGTCTACGAAAGGCTCATGAAGAGCCTTGTGGAACCTCCCGTGGAGCTCTTTCTCCTTCCATACGGTCTCCCAGTCGGAAATGCACTGTACTGTTGGGTCTTGCCATTGCTCGTTGGCTAAGGATAAAGGGGTTAGCCCTTTAACACACGAAATGACGTCCCTGTAGAATCATCCGATTTCGTCAGGAAGTAATTACGCAGGCTGCACACTTCGCGATTATGCATGGTGAGAGCGCTTAAAATTTTTATTATTATTATTATTTACGCTGGCGTGATCCTTTTCCTCGGACGAGCCGACCCATTCGTACTACAACCATAATATAGCTTTAGCATGGCTCTACCACGTAAAACATTCCCTTGTCGGTCTGCGTATATAACTCACCACAGGACAAACATATCACAACTCTTATATTAAATTTGTTCAGAAACTTCACAACTCGACGGTCTCGAAGATCGATAATAGACCTGTGTCGATCATGATCTACTCGTATCATCGGGTTAAAAAGATTTGATTATTTCGATCATTTGGGTCGCAGTTCGTCTGTAATTGTAGGACTTTGTATGACCGAAGGACAAGTGCTGAAAAGGTGATGGCTAGAATCATGGTAATAGGTCTTTACCTATGAAATTGCTGTTCTGCAGTACTGGTCGTTACAAATCAAAATAATATTTGTTTCGCTAAGAATTTTTATTTCATATTAATTTTATTTTAAAAACGTGGGATTATTTTTTCAAAATTAGTCATTAATTTGTTTATTGATTAGCGTTATGCTTTCATTGCACTTGAATCTTTTTCGATATCATGAATAACTTAAAAATTCGAGTAATTATGGTATATGAGTACCGTCGCGGCAGCAACGTGACAGAAGCGGCACGCAACATCAACGACGTTTACGCGAGCGATTGGTTTGCCCGCTGCCGTCCTGGAAATTTCGCCCTAAAAAATGAACCCTGGGGTCGTCCAAAAACTTACTGGGGACTTCGACAATGACGAATTATTGGCGATTGTGGAAACTGTATCAAAATATTATTGGTCCATTTACGTCAAAGTGGCAAGGTAAAAAAGCTTGACAAACGAACTCATTGATGGCCAGCGCGAAGTACGCGTCGAAATGTGCGTTGCATTGTTCAAAAGGCACACAAACGAAGGAATTTTGAACCGCATTGTTACCTGCGGCGAAAAATGAATGCTGTTTGCCAATTGCAAGCGCTCAGCAAGTTGGTTGGATCCTGGTTTAGCACCTAAACAATGCCCTAAACGAAAACTTACCCCTAGAAAAGTGATGGTCACTGTTTGGTGTTCTAGCGCCAGTGTGATTCATCACAGCTTCTTAAAAATCGGGATGAGCATTACTGCAGATGTGTACTGTGGAGAACTGAACACAATGGTAGAGAAGCTCGCACGTCTGCAACTAGCTTTGGTCAATAGCTCGTCCCCGCTGCTCAAGCAACAGGTGATCTCCAAGTTTCAAGAGCTGGAATCGGAAGCTCTCCATCATCCACCGTACTCACCAGACCTTGCGCCTACAGACTTCTACTTTTTCAGGAATTTGGATAACTTCTTGGAAAAAAATTCAATACCCGAGAAGCAGTACAAAATGCCTTTGAAGAATTTGTTGCCTCCCGTCCAGCTGATTTCTTCAAGAATCAATCAACTGCCTCATCATCAATAAACTGCTACTGCGTTGGCAAAGATGCATCGATTGGATGGGTGATTATTTTGTAACAATAAATATAGAAAACAAATAGCTTAAACTTATTTCATTAAAAACGACAATTTCATAGATAAAGACCAGAGAGGCTTCTGTTCAAATAATTTCAATCTGAACCACTATTCGATTGTGCGTTAGCTACGGCACGGGCATTGGGAATACGAAATTACCTTGAGTTTTAATAAAATTATATTGAATCAGAACTCGACTTTGTCGAGAATAGGCAGTCAAAACTTTTATTTTCATTTGTAAAATTATTTTCGGTGTCATTGTTTTACGAAAAATTCTATGTAATAAACAACAAACTGTAAACTATTGCACATCAAAAAAAAAAATAGCTTTAATAAGAATAAGTATGTTCATACTTTAAACATTAGGAATAAACAAGATTGTAATGCCAGTTACTAGACTCCACAGAATCATTAATTCATTTATGGGGCAACGTATACGCTCTACAACACTCACAACCTCTGGGAAGAAGGTGATCGCCACCATGCTGGTTCTGTGAAAATTCATTTAATAATTGTACAAACGAAATATGTTTAAAAAGTGAAATATGTTTAGTGGTAGAGCCACGCGGCAGATTTTGCTGACGCACGGATGGGCCGGCTCGAACCGGGGTGGTACCACGACCTCACAGAATACCAGCGTGAAGTAGAGGTTTACCTCTGCGTTTCGCTTGGTGAGTGCAGGTGGCCGGAGGCCCTTTTTACTGGAAATGAGGCATTCCATCTTAGTCCTCACGGGTGACAACGCATCTGCATTTTGATTTGTAATAGAGGATAGATGTAGATGTCTATGGGCCGCAGCAACCACTTACCATCAGGTGGACTGTGTGCTCGTTTGTCACCCTTATCCTATAAAAGGGTAAGGGTAGGGTCCTGGGTTTCTCGCTGGTTCTTCCCAGGACAGAGGTATTTTCCAAACCAGTGGTAAATAAAAAAATGACTTACAATAAGTATTATGTAATAATCAATATTGAAAATCATTCTAATCTATTCTATAGTTCGTTGGTAATAAATGGATTTTATTCTAAAGGGATATATGCTTAATAAGAAAACAATGTTTTTTATATTTTTCAAAATATTATTTATTCTTTTGATTACAATAAACTTTATAAATATACGCGAAAGAATACTCACTTCTCCTTTTTCTCAGAAGAAAGTGAATTGTAGAGCTTGTTGATCTCATTGAAAACCAAGTTTTGGACGATAGTGCCGTTTGTGTCAATAAAATTGGCAAATGATTTTGTAATGTTGGCCTCTCGGACTTTTCCATTTGAATCGCGCATCACTATAACCAAATTGTACTTGTCGTCATGTCTGTAAAAATATAAAGAGAGTAAAAGTTATAATTATTCTCTATGTGTCTTTGTCAATGAACTCCTTCTAAACAGCTGAACCGATTTTGATGTAGTTTTTTGTATGTGTTTGAGTTGGTCCCTGGAGGGTTAAGATTCACAATTGGACCCAGTAAGGAGCATTGTTGTCGAGATCTAGATCACCCGTGCGACGTCAAGGCAGATCGCTTGTATCATGTAAAAATCAATCACTCAATAAGCATGTAAAGTGTCAGACTTAGACATTTTTTACCTACATGCATCAGACCTTATATAGAGGTAGTACCGCTGCAACGTAATATGGCTGCACCCTGAATGGGTTGGCTCAACCATGGAAGTACACGCTCGTGCTTTGTATTGCATTTTGGGTGACGAAAGTCGAAGATGCTTTCTACTGGAAACAGGACATTCCTTTATCAGGGGTGAAAAGTATCAACCTGCCGTCAGCACTTTAGAGGCTTAATCAGGAATTTACGTCAGTGTTTATGGGCCACAGTCAGGACGACGATGTTGTTCGCTTATCACCCTTTTTCTACAAAAAAAATCCAGACCATGAAGTAGGGCTAATCCGTAATCGGGAGAGCTACACTAAATTTCAAGTAAAGTAGATGATGTGGTGGAAGGAACTCTTTCATGTGTTTTATTTTTTATTTGCATTTGTATGGCCAAAAAATAATTGTTCAGGGTGTGTCTAAATAGATGTTTGTCTAGTTGTTTGATTGAAATTTATCTTATGCAATGTTATTATTATTATAATTTATGGCATTATTTTTATACTCCTTGAAATTACATTCTCATACTGTTACAACCTATTAAAGTCCACTGCTGAACATAGGAATTCCTCACAGATTGCCTTATAAGGGGCATATTTGCCATAGCTGCCATGCTTGGCAAGCGGATTGGCAACCACAGTTTTTATATTTAGTCGTTATTAAGAAGACGCTGCTGCCCATCTCCTGATTAGTCTCCCTCTGTCGCCTTTTACAAGACTCACGGTATGATATGGGGTAGTGGGTATTCTTGCATCGCCACTACTGTTCTCATAATAATTGTTTTGTTTTTAACTTTATTTATATAATATTGCTATCAAGTATTTATACAAAAATTTTAGGTGTTGAGTTATAGCCATGGGCTAAACCAATAGTTTTTACGGAGTTAGCCATTGCCCCTAGCAAAGAGTTAGAGCCACATCTATTTCAGAGGGGAAAGGGCACTAGATTTTCTAAGTAGGTCCCACCCCATGCCAAAGTGCTTTTTCTTAGCTACATTCGTGATTATGATCTAAATTTGTGACCATTTCTTTTTGATAACTTTTTTCGCCCTGCATCTTTATGGATTTATATTTTATGGATTGGACCGTTACATTTATATACTTATTGCTCCAAAAAAATTACTTTAGCAGACTTACTTTTTTACATATGAACTTGCTTCCCATGTTCTGTAAATGTTTCCAACTTTCTCTTTAGCAACAACAAATATGCCTCTTTCCTTGAATGTTGTGTACAGAGTGAGAACTCCCATTGAAATGAAGTAAAAAGAGACACAAATAATAAGAACTTCCCTGAAAAAAAAAAGCAGTTGTTTTAGATAATGAAATAATAAAACATACCTAAATGGCAGTAAAACTATCTCTTTTAACACCAGATGAATAATACACCAGTTTTCTGGACATCCCTTATATCATTTCTGACCAGCAACAAAATCGATGACAACATTCTTATCTAATTGTTAACATCTTTAACATTTTGTATGTGAAAAGCATGTGTTAAGGTAGCGTGATTTGTGGTAGTTAGCTACTGTTTACCAGGTCCAGCTAATTCTTGTATTTTCTTATTTTTTCTAAGACCTACCACATACATATAATTGTTAAATCTATCAGTTTAGTCGAGTTTTAGGCTTGTAATGATTCATGACAATGTATCTGTCTGATTAGTGCATACAGTTGATCCAGTTATTGATTTACTAGTTTCCTCAGTCGGGCGAAAGTTTTGTGTCATTCAATTATACTTAATAATTACAACTTTCATGATTAATGAGAAAGTATGCAATGCTTTATATAATATATAGTGAAAGTCTAGGCACATACATATTAATACTAATGAAACAACTGTTTTGTTGTATGTGAAAAGTTTATGGGAATGTTTGGAGGTCCGATCCATGCCCAATAGAGAAAACAAGTAAACCAATAATGACTGGATCAATTATATGCACACCATCAAATACTATCTTGTAATCATCAGAAGCATACAACTCGACTAAGCAGTTTGATTATTTAACAATTGTACATAATATGCAGTAGGTGTAAGACTGTTTTCCAGCAATAAATTACAAACACATTTTGATCTATTATTTGACTATTTTATCATTGACTTTGTTACCTTACTACTAGCTTGATGCAGAGGTAGCGAGTTACTTGTTTTTTGAGAGAATCTTTTTTTTTATAATAGGTTTGTGCTACAAAATTTCATTTTTAGTAACTAGCTACAAATTCTTAAGAAAATTTTAATGGTTTCTGCCGAATTTTCACTGCTAGCTTGATTAGAGTTCACATGCGGGACACCATTGGAAGGAGGATTTGTCGTTATCATCATGCAGTGCAAGCTAATAGACAATTGCAGTAGCAGACGTTGGGACAGTCACCTTTGACTTTGCTGCCCAATCTGAGTTTTTTTGTGCCTGGCATAAGCGAGATAGTTATACAGTTGACCTGCGGTAATCTAACAAACGTTTTGCAAGGTGGTGTCGGATTATCAAATTTGTTGGACTATAGAGTACTGCCACCTTTTAGTCCGGAACTCTTCAAAAAAGGGTACCTTGTAATCCAACAAATTTCATATCAAAAGTAAAATAATAAAAGATAAAAAAAATCATGTGATGCACAATGAATACCTAAACATTAGAATGTGGTAGAGCGCCATGCTGCAGCAATATTAGTAGTATAGTTGTAGCACAAATGGTTCAGCTAGACCGGGGAAGGACCACAGTCTAACAGAATAGCAGCGTAAAATAACAGCTTAACACTGCTGTGTTTCATATGGTGAGTGTAGAGAACCTTTTTTACTGGAAAAGAGGCATTCCAATCTTAGTCCTCATGGGTAACAACACATCTGCATTTTGATTCTTAATTGAGGGTAGATGTAGTCTATGGATCACAGCAACCCCTAACCATCAGGTGGACTGTATGGTCGTTTGTCACCCTATCCTGTAAAAAAAATACAGAAAATAACGAATGCCTGCTAGGGCTATAATCACATTTAAATTGAGACTACGCACAAAGCAAAATTTGTGGTGACGTGAACTAATTGCAAACTGTTTGTGCACATTGCAAAGGACAAAAGTGGTGGATTCATAATGCAACTCAACTGTACCTACATGTTATAGGCATGTCGCTTTACAAGAGTGGTGGATTAGAGAAGAGCCAAATTACCGGGGATCCATTGTACAGCTATCTAACGGAAGTCGTAAGATTTTTCTGCACTTGCCGTGTTTTCATTATTTAGCAAGGAATAATCTTAGGACAATGATATAACTACATTACAAATTTATCTAAATGAATTACACAAGTTAGGAAATATAATAAAAAAATTTAAAATACCTGGACTGAGGAAATGGGTAGAAATAGTCCCATAACAATGCACAACCAGCTACACCAACAGCCAGAGTACACAGAAAGAGACGTCCATCAATTACTGCATAGGTTTCTTTGCATTTCAGATCATCTGTTAGCACCTGTTTTATAAACATCAATCATAGTATTTTAAAATTTTATAAGTTCATGATATGCTGTTTTACATGAAATCTTTTGCCTTTACAATACTTCGCTACTTTGCAATACCTGTTTTCTTTAATTGCCTTTCACATTTAAAAAAACATAAGTATTGAGCATTATTGTAATTTTCATGTTAGTTCATTGACACATTATAGTCTTTGCGTTATAGCATGGTGCGGGTGACAGCTTACACTTTTAGTGTCTAGAGATGGAACATTGTTAAGTCGATTTAAAAAAGGCAATTAACGATACACAAAGCAAAGCAAAAATTATCGATGAGCTATCAATATAAAAATTAAAACCGAAACATATATTTCTTTATAAACTACAATGCATGTAAAATTAAGTAAAATTTTAATACAAATTATGACACAAACGCTTGCCCGCTTGGTATTTATTACGATTGGATTTCTTTTTTTTTTTTTCTAAAATAAAATTAGCCTGTGTTACTCATTATAACATCAGCTATCTGTCAGTGCCAGCTATAAGCCGGAACAAACAGACAGTAAGACATACATTGTAAAAATTGTTTTTGTCTTTTTGTTATAAATACCGTATATGTATAATTTCATATGTATTTAGTAAAAGGCTGTTATGTTGATATTACAAACAGACACATCAATGTATAGATTATAATATGTAGTAATTTGAAAATAAAAATCATCTTCTATTTCTTGTTGATTGCAACATTCATATTGACATTTAAACAAATAAAACGGTTGCCTGCATCTGTAATTTTCAGTACGGCGCTGACTGCACCGGCAGATTTTCAAGGTACAAGTGCTAGCGCCTTTTGCTATATGTGTATTAATTTTGCCAGGTCCAATGGGTCAAATATCGGGACGGAGGATAAAAATAAAAGAGAATTTGGTTTATAAATCTAATGAAATAAAAATAAAAAATAGGTTTTAGTAGCCATTTTGGCCGCCATGAGTTATGATAAAGTCTTTTTGACACAATGCATAATTTGCTTTTTTAATTATTCTTTTTGCCTGAGCTGACCAACAAATAATTTATCATCCATGCATCGGAAACGCTGCATATTCGTCTTTGTGAATTTTGTTTCAATAAATCAGAATTTGTTGAACAATTACTTCCTATTCCAATACATATTTACGTGATTTTTATATTTTTGATTTATTTCAAAACTGATTTTTGATAGTCTGTGGTTGTTTGTTAAGGCATGACATATTTTAGCGTGGAACATCACTGTCGTAAGTGGGTGGTATCCATCCATGAAGTACAACAATATCTGTATGACCCACACCATGCTATAACACAAAGACTATAATTATTGAAATATTAGGAATGAGAACCTTATCATAGCCTTATCATAGTAGAAGTTTTATTCTATAATATTATTAAATTTATAAAAAAAAATTAAGTAAGCAAAGCCTAGTCTACAGTGGATTAAGGAGATTTTCCAGTTGAAGCTCCTGTAATTTCAATAGACAGTTTGTTATGTGGTGTCATCATGGAAGAAGAGTTGCATTGGACAAGTAGCAAGCAGCAAACTTATCTATAAACATTTACAACAATTGAACAGTATTTGACATAATAACAAACTCAACCCAACTAACATGACAATGGCAAAATTCTATCAAGAGAAGCCATAATTTAAAAGAAAAACTTAACCCATGTTAAACGCCAATGGTTTCAATTGGTGTCAATTAATATAAGCTTCAACTCAGTTTTAGAGTTGCCAATCAATAAGTTGTTATAGAATACACTTTCCAAACTCTCTATTTAGCCACAAATCTCAATGCCATGAAAGGGTGCTGTTAATCTGTATTTTAAAATAAAACTTCTTCTACCACTTTAGAAGTGAAAATTTCCAGAATGGAAGCAATTAAACCAAAATGAACTGTGTCATGAACCAACTGTCAACATTATATTGGAACTCAAATTTGTAAATATTATTTACTAAATAACATAACCTTTGCTCCAATCATAGACACAGACAACTACTTACTTACTATGACTATATTATATAAAACATTCAATATTACATTAATTTGAATTAGAAATTCCAAGTATGATATCGAACATATATATGAATATATGCATATAGAATTTTAGACATTAAATATATAGAATAGAATACGAAAGTTTACCTCCCTAATCGCATCATCAATAGCATTTTTAGCTGCTGCACCGTCCCATTTATTAATTTTCACAACCTGGAAGTTAAGAAATGCCAAGATGAAAAAGAAATGTAAAGAAGGCTCTTCAGTAGTTCACAGCTGTTATACAGCTGTTAGCTCTTCATTTTGCTAATTGCTACATCGTATTCAGACTGACTGGAAAGACCCTACTATTTTGGAAATAAATTTTTGATGTAAAATAGAACTTGAGCTTTAATTAAGCTTAAATTTGATAAAATGTTTTAAATATATGCACAACGGAAGACAACGGTTATTTATTGATTAAATTATGAAACAAAAACTTATTTTATTAAATTTAACACTAAATTTCATTCATGTTTTCTTTTTCACTGTGTGACGTGTCTTTATTAGTACCAACTTTGTATTCCATATTTTACGCATGTTTAAATTATTGGAAATATACCTCGGACTTTTCACCCATTTTAGACAAGTTATGATCTGTATTAATTATTTTTTATTAGTAACAAAAACTAATCACAATTTAAATTTTTAGGAAGGTATTCAATCGCCACTGATCGACACCAAGTCATCTATCAAATAGGCTTGGGCAAAAAATATCGATATATCGAAATCTTTTAATAAAAATATCGTCGATATTTTAAAAAGCGATTAGGTATATCGATATATCGATATTTATTTTAGAGTATCGAATTCGTATCAAATTCGATATATTTTATTTAATTTGATACATGTAACAACAAAAGGAGGTATAAAAGTATTCATGTCTGGTTGGTTGTAGTTTTGTTTTCGTCGTCCAACCGGCAGTAATATAAAATTCTTTCATACATTTCAACCTTTTCTATACATCATTAGAAATGGGTAACTCAGGAGAGATAGATACAAAAGATATGAATCAATCCGTTTCCATCAATCACTCTTTATATCCATCTGCATCCAAATGTATCACTGTATCAGTGTATCTTTACAACTTATTCACTCAAGACATCTTTTAACTTTTTCTAACATCTGTGTCGCACATTGCGCACACTGCTTTCTATTATATCGGTATAATCGGTCGTTCCAGGAAGATTTCGAAAGTCCATAGTACAGACGTTTTTTTCGCAGGTCACTATTTAGAATGTTCTGTCGCGCTTTGGCAAGACGGAGAGAGTGAGTTGTTTGACCATTATAAACTGTAATACGTTAGCACAAAAAGGTAAATTGGTAACTCTATGACTGGTGCATAGGGCTTAAAGTCATTAAGCGGTACGTTAACATTTAAGTATTATACTGGTTTGAACTGTACCTATGTGTACTTTGCCTATAAATTTTTTAGTAAACAATGCAAATTAATTTCAGTTATAAAACCATAGTTTTTAAGAAAGTTTTATAATCGAAATTAATAGTCGTTTATATCCATAAAAAAGTAGAAAAAAGATTTGTGATTTACAAAATTAAACAAATATATCAGTTTGCTTCATTAGTTCAACCTTAATCTCGGTTTGGGAACGAGAGTAATATTGTTTGCGTTAATTGCATCGAATAGAAAAATATTTGAAGTTGTTTTGTACACTTAGTGACTGTTTAATTTAAATGTAGGTAAATAAGACATTCAGTGTAAATAGTTTAAAGTGTTTTTTGTTCTGTACGTACAGTTAGTGAATGTTTCATTTATTTTAAGTGTAAATAATTTTGCGCAGTTAGTGTTTTATTAATAAAAAAAATGGGTTCACGAAAACGAAGCGCAGTGTGGAATCATTTTGAGGAAATAGAACCAAAAAAAGCAAAATGCCTTTATTGTGCGAACATGCTAAATGTACCCGCTGGAAATTGTGGTAACCTTCCCCACAGTACCCCTCGTAGCTAAAAGACAGCCAACGCAGCAGGCATGTTTTCAAGAAACCGAAACTATATAATATATATTTTCTACAAATTAATACAAACAATACCTACCCTACCTACGTTATTTACGTTAATCATTAATTTATTGATTTATTACACTACAAAGTACAAATTAAGCGCTTCATTTTGCAGGTCTCATCAAAGGCGTGGTGGTACTTGTATTTTACACTGTAATTCAATAACGACTAAAGAACTACCTTTTCTAAAAGAATTGGCATCAGAAATGACTTTCGAATGTTGTGGATTAGAAATAGTAGAATATAAGATAATCCTTGTGTGTATTTACCGTACTCCAACAGCGAACGTAAAAATATTTTTTAATAAACTACATCTTCTTCTAGACAAATTAAATTCATTTAAAAAACAGATAATTATTACAGGAGACTGGAATATTGACACCCTAAAAAAAAGTAATACCTCGGACGAATTAATAGAAATACTAACTAGCTACAATCTAGACTTGCATATTAAAACACCTACACGATGTGAGTCTTGTATAGATCATTTTGCGAGCAATATAAAGGAAGCAGTCGGATATACTAAAGCTGTGTGCTTATCAGACCATAACACAGCTCAACTATTGTCTGTACCGGTTAAATTACGTAAAGCACTGCTTAAAACTTGGTTTGAAATAAGACGTGATTATAGTATTGACAACTTGAACAAATTCAAATATGTTTTGACGAGCTACCCATGGCGAAACCTTATTGACTTCGAAAATGTAGATGATGATTTCACACTATTTCATAATGAACTTATTCTCTTATATAATTTATGTTTTCCTAAATACAAAATTATAATTTTTAATAAAGTTAACACAAAATCAAAATGGCTAACCAAGGGCTTAAAAATATCATGTCAAACTAAAAGAAAGTTACGTTTGTCTTATTATAAAAAACACACATATATTACTAAAAATAAATACCGAGAGTACTCTAAAATACTTAGGAAAAGTATACTACTGTCCCAAAAAATTACTAATGAGAAATATGTTAATACAGCCAGGAATAAATGCAAAGCCACTTGGAATATAATTAATAACAAAGACGAAGTAAATGACAAACATAATATTGAATACCTAAAAATAAATGACAAAATTATAGATAATCCATCAGATATTGCAAACGCATTTAATAATCACTTTATAGACTCGACAAATGTACCTGATAACTATCAAAATAATTTAAGTAATCTGAAGTTCATCGAAACTACTTCCGCATCTATATTTTTAAACCCTACCGACGACAATGAAATAATCAAAATGATAAGCACTCTGAACAATACAAATTCCACAGGTCATGATGCGATATGTACGAAGATAGTTAAGGCTTGTGCAAGTGAATTGGCACCTTTGCTGGCACATTTTGTGAATCGTTGCTTTGAGGAGGGTAAATTTCCGAGCACTCTTAAGATGTCCATCGTCAGGCCACTATTTAAACACGGAGAGAGGCATAATTTAAACAACTACAGACCCATTGCACTTATCCCAGTTTTGTCAAAGATATTTGAAAAAATCATGCAGTTCAGATTAATTTCTTTTTTCACAAAACACTGCATACTTAGGGAGGAACAATTTGGGTTTCGCAAGGAAAGGTCAACAGCACTGGCCTGTTACTCCCTTATTAAGAAAATATCGATTCATATGAGCAATAGGGTTCCCGTATCCACCATCCTTTTCGATATGAGTAAGGCCTTTGACTTTGTCAATCATAGCACTCTTCTTAATAAGCTTGAGCGTTATGGTGTGCGAGGACCGGCCCATGATTGGATAAGGAGCTATATCAGTGAAAGGACTCAGTATGTGGAAGTACCGAGGCTGGATGATGGGTGTCAGAGTGTGACGTACAGATCGGAGATTAGGGTGAATAACTCAGGTGTCCCACAGGGCAGTATATTAGGACCACTACTCTTCATTCTGTACATCAATGACCTTCCAAAGTGTACGCAATATCCTGTTACACTCTATGCTGACGATATTTCTATAACTATACATAAAAACCCTAACAATAACTATAATGATGAAATAAATAATGAAATAAGAAATATAACGAACTGGCTAAAGTATAATGATTTGAAAATTAATACAAGTAAAACAAAGTGTATACAATTTTACAACAAAAATGGTAAACCCCAACAACTATCGATACACCATGGTAACGATCCCATTGCTATGACCACATCAGCGAACTTTCTCGGTATTATGATTGATTCCGAACTCACATGGCAGAATCACGTTGAAACTGTATGCCAGAGGATTAATAGGTTTGTGTTCGCTCTGTATCGTCTGTCAAAATTAGCTAACATTAAGACAGCTCTGATGGCATACCATGGATACGTTGGTTCTATACTGAGATATGGACTGATTCTGTGGGGAAATTCGACACACATTTCTCGTGTCTTTATACTACAGAAGAAATGTATACGATCTATATGCGGTGTCGGTCAAATGGAATCATGTAGACCTTTCTTTAAGAAGTTAAAAATTCTTCCATTACCTTCCCTATATATATATGAAATTTTAATATTGACCAAAAAAAATGCTAACCACTTCACAAAACAACATAATAATTGTGGTGGTATGAGAAGGTACCCGTGGAAGTTATCTGTACCACAGGCAGCCACAACTTGTTTTACTAGAAATAGTTATAGCATGTGCGTTCGATTATTTAATTTACTTCCAAACCATATTCAAAACTTGACATTTAATCAGTTTAAAAAAGTTATTTTCGGGACTCTCATTGAAAACTGTTTTTATGACGTAAATGAATTTATTAAATTCTGCCGTGACGGCCACCTCAAGCGAATTGTTGTTATTTGAAATTTTAAATTGACAAATTAATTAGAATTTGTAAGATTGACATTATACTAGTTTGACATTATGCATTATGACATGACCATGCCTGTATATTTTTTATTATTTTTTTTCTCTTTTTACATAATAAATTTATTGACATTATATTGCTTTATTAAATTTTGATATGAAACGTTATTGTAATTTTGTAATTTTAATTATTCAATTATTGCATGTCGACTTAATATTTGCACACTGATAAATCGGTAAAACATGCATGTTCACATTATATTATAAGACCTAAAAATGTACCATGTTTTATGCAAATAAATATTTTATTATTATTATTTTATTTTATATATTTATTTATTATATTAATTTTTATTATTATTTTAAACTAAAAATTTAAGTTAATTTCTCGAATAAGTGCCTATTAATATTTATCAATCATAACAATAACAGCGCTTGCTGTAAATTTCACAGTACGCAAGCAACCCGTGTTCGATCCCCGCCGGCACCAATGAAATTGTTAATTGCAATTTTAAGTGCTGATTTACCACGTGCTCGGCGATGAAGGAAAACATCGTGAGGAAACCTGCATGTCTGAGAAATAGGAAAAATTTAGTTTTTTACTCATAACAAATAGATATCTAGAAAGAAACAACAGCCAAATATATGAGAAAGATACACAATGTTACGACCAAGCAAAATGCAAACAGCTCAGCAGCAGGTACTTATCTATCACTCTTTCTGATAGGATTGAATTCAGCGAAGCGAGCCACGCTGAGTGAGCAACGCAACGTAATGCAATGCGTGTCGTGAAAGCGAGTTTGATCTACTGATACATAAGGATATAAAGATATAAAAGAGTGATACATATCCAAGTGATCAAAAGATACATA